GTTTTCAACAATGGTCCCCGATGTAACCAACTGTTTGACGCCATTACATTGACGTTAGTACATTTGTAATATGGTCACTGAACTTTTCAGGCACTTACATTTAGGTCCCCTAACTTTTAAAACTTACAGCACAATCCTCAATTTTATTCTAAACCCCAAATTCCTTTTCGATCTCAAAACCATCAACGATTCAAGGTGTAATGTTAGATACATGTCATCTCAGGTGAAGCATAGATATTCGAAGAAATGCTTGTGAAAAAAAAATATTTGACAAACACTACTAAGATGAACTAAATATCATTGTTGAAAGTCACCAACAAAGCTGGAATTATTTTGTATAAATGACATATAATAATTTCTTCGTTTAATCCTTGTGGTTAAAGATTTTCGAACAGATGATCAAATATAATGAAATTCCAAACAACGCATTCACCTCTCCGTCTCTGTCGCAACTCGAAAGGCATCATGACAGGGCCAAGTAGCTGCTCCAAATATACTACCTTGTCATGATGCCTTCCGAGTTGCGTGCATGCAAAATTTTCTTCTAAAACTATAATTCAATACAATTCAACTGTAAAATTTCAAAAACATATAAAAAATCAAATTCGTTCACGATATATCAGTCCCATAATCAACATGAACTTATTAAAAATAATACGAGCTCACAGGACGCCGAAAATCACAGGTCGGATCAATACAATTCCCAATAAACTAGTACCAGCAGTCTCTCGAATTGAGCCTGACGATTTCACTATGTCGATACTCACAACCAATTCCTTAATTTAAAGAAAAACCAAACAAGAAGATCAAAAAAATTTAGCATAGGACTCTATTTCACTTCTATTCTGATGGACTGAATACCTTTCATAAGGAGTACCAAAAGTTTTTGATTAAGAAGAAAGAAAGAAAATTAGATGGTTTTGGTTCAAAACTAACACTAAATATCTAGATCATTGAAATGCAGTTCCAGAAACATAAAAATTTCAACAAAAAAACACATAATGCGAGCTGAAAATAGGAACGTGCGAAAGAGGAAAATAAATACATTTTTGCAAGTGAGGGGAGAGGCTAAGAAATAAACACAATCGGTGTTGCGTTCCAGCAATTCTTTCTCCATTTTTTCTTTGTAAATAAAAAGCTGAAAGACAGAGCACTGCTTGGGTTTACAATTTTACATGGCGGAAAATTGAAGAACAAAAACCAAACGATAGTGCATGTGAGCGAAAGAGACTGAGAGGTGAATGTGTTGTTTGGGATTTCATTATATTTGATCATCTGTTGGAAAATCTTTAACCACAAGGATTAAACGAAGAAATTATTATATGTCATTTATACAAAATAATTTCAGCTTTATTGGTGACTTTCAACAATGATACTTAGTTCATATTAGTAGTATTTGTCAGCTCTGAATTTCTAACTCCATTTTTTCTCACAAGCATTTCATCGAATATCTATGCTTCACCTGAGATGACATGTATGTAACATTACACCTTGAATCGTTGATGGTCCCGATAGTCCCTTGGTCGGGTCTTCTCTCAATGGGCCCTTATTCAAGTCAACATCTCCACATAATTCAAAGTTAGATTAGAATTTTTCATGCATCCCCGACTGAAAAGTTACGCTGGAAATGAGAAGAGATAAGCAAAAAAAGGAAATTCGAGATCGAAAAGGAAATTCGAGATTGAAAAGGAATTTAGGGTTTAGAATAAAATTGAGAATTATGTTGTAAGTTTTAAAAGTTGGGGACCTAAATGCAAGCGTCTGAAAAGTTCAGTGATCATATTGCAAACGTACTAACGGCAGTGTAACGACGTCAAACGCTCGGTTACGTCGGGGATCATATTGCAAACGGACTAAATGTTGGGGGACCATATTGCAAATGAACTAAATGTTGGGGGACTGTATTGCAAGTTTTAAAAGTTGGGGACCTAAATGAAAGCTTTAGAAAAGTTCAGTGACCATTACTATACTTTCCCTATAATTAAATAGATTTAATTTTTAAACTTAAATGCTTAATATATCTTTACTTTTGAAATTAAATAAATTGACATAATTTAATATTCAATCATAATTCGATTTTTGTATTGATTAACTAAATCAAATTTATAAAAATATAATATATTTACTACATTTTATTATGTTTCACTAACCTTTTACGTAAAACTATAATCATCTTAAGTTAAATCATAATTTGGCTAATTGACCTTACCTACAGTTGACTCACTGCTCTTCAAATATATCCACTGATCCTAAGCCTCCTTCTCCACAACTTCGAATTCTGTTCATCTCAGACGCCGATCGACGCATCTCCAAAGCAAAGTCCACAACCTCGAGGATGGCTCACTCTCATTCTGCACAAATCCCAGGTCCCAAATTAATAGTTTTATTTTCTATTTTTAACTTTATTTTGATTCCACTTTATTTTTTAATGTAAAGAACATCGAAAGAAGAGAAAAATGACTTTTTTCCCCTTCAATTTTTTAGTGATCGAGCAGCAGAGAGTGATAATTCCGAACAAACATGGAGAAAGACTGGTGGGGTTATTGCATGAAACCGAGTCTAAAGAGATCGTAGTCTTGTGTCATGTTTCAGATCCTGCAAGGTTGGTTCTTGAAAAAGGCTATGATGCGGTCGTTACGTTGCTCATAATTTTGTATTATGTTATTTAGTTGGGTCATTTGATCTCTTTTAGCATGCTTTCAGTAGCGAATGCATTGACTGCAAATGTCATTGAAACTCACTTGGGTTAATTCCACTTCAGGATTACAGGATTATGGTGAACCTTGCTGCTGCTTTAGAGAAAGAAGGAATCAGCGTCTTTCGTTTCGATTTTTCCGGAAACGGGTGAGTTGAATTAAAACTAATGTTACTCGGACTTTGATGCGAGTGTCGGATATGAAAATCTATCCGTATTCCATACCCCAAGCATCAGACACTGTGCTTCAAAGAAAATGAAGAGTTTCCTAATTCAATGATAGAAATCAATGTGCATTATATGGTGTAGTTCTTACCTTATTTGCTTGGTTTTTGTTCACTTTGTTTCATAGTTAGAATTTAACTTGTTTCACAATACTTTTTCAGAGAAAGTGAAGGTTCATTCGAATATGGTACCTATTACCGAGAAGCGGATGATTTACATGTCGTTGTTCGACACTTTTCCGGGGAAAATCGCGTGGTAAGCGCAATTCTTGGACATAGCAAAGGTGAGTATCCTAAGTATTTGCTTGAAGTAACCAAGTTTATGAAGATTATGTCTTCAATTACATTCTAAACAGAGTAATTTTTAGGTCATTTTTAGTTAGATCTTAGCAGTAACTTTACCTGATAATGTTTCAATCATTGATGCACGGAAAGCATAACCGAGCTAACATCACGGTGCAAGTTAAGACTGTCAATCTTTAGGCTCAACCATTATGTCACTGAAACAATGTAGTGCAGGGGGAGATGTGGTGCTTCTTTATGCTTCAAAGTATCGAGATATCAATATAGTTGTAAACGTTGCCGGACGCTGCGACATGAAGAGAGGCCTCGCAGAACGCTTCGGAGAAGACTTCATGGAAAAGATCAAGAAGGATGGATACATTGATGTTAAGCAAGGTAATTTGTTTATTCAGCTTCCTTAGAGCATATGACTGTGGATGTGTCCACAGAGGGTCTGTTTGTTGCTTGTTAAGCTAAGCTAATCACTAGTTCATCTCTAGGAGGTTTTGAATTCCGTGTGACTGAGGAAGCTTTGATGGATCACATAACAATGGACATGCGTGAACCTTGCCGTAAGATCGATCAAGAATGTCGGTAAGACTCGAATCTAGATTGTTCGCTTGAGATCATTGTTTCTTCAGCGACACATTAAACTCGCTTTAGATGTCGTTGTCGATGAACGTTAATACTAATATCTGTTGTTTATGTAAAGGGTCTTGACTGTCCATGGATCGGCGGATGATATGGTTCCTCTTGAAGATGCATTGGAGTTTGGCGAGATTATACCGAATCATCAATTACAGATCATAGAAGGAGGCGATCATGGATTCACCTCGCATCAAACCGAGTTGGCATCGGTGATCGTTAAATTTATAAAGTCGGCCTTGGAGGAAGACAAGGTTGCTCCGAAGTGTAGTTAGTTTATGAGCTCGAACTTGATGTTAGGCACCAGGAACAGATGATACAGGTGACTTCAGAAAATATCCAGAATATTGTTAGTCCCTGCTGCTGTAATCGATCTCAATAATTTTCAAGCCCATGCCAAAGGTGTATCTTTGATCACTCTTACAACAACCGTATATGAATCTCTCCCTATACTATACTATACTATACTGTATTATATTATTTTGCAGGATAAATTATACTGGTGATCATTTTTTTCAATTTATTTTATTTTAATCATCGATTTTAAAAAATTACGTTTAGTTTGTTTTATTTTGATGATGTATCCTTAATTATTGTAAGTTTGTTAACGTAGCGTGTTAGTAGAAGTGATTAAATTTTAATTTAACCACTGAGTTTTAGACATACAATATAACCTCTATAAATTATGTGGTCTCGACATTATTAAGTTATAAAGGTTTTACTGTAATAATAATTTGATACTAAATTTTATATAAAATATTAATTCAACCCCTAAATTTTAGTAAAATATTAATTTAACATCTGATTATTAAATAAATTTTTTATTTTAATCATGAATCAAGTCAAAATACCCGCCACTAATCATTACTCATCATCATTGTCGGTCATCGTCAATTTTTACCATCGATTACTGTCGACCATCGTCGTCGACGATCATTAGTCTCAAAATTTTTAACTCACTCCTTTTTAATGTCCTAAACGTAAGTTTAATGTTCGTTTCACAAAAAATAATCTCAGACTTCACAAATCTAATCTATATAATTCTTCTATTTTTTTTAATTTTTTGATGAAAATATTTTTTTCATGATAATTTAATCAATTATCTTTTAATTTTTTTACTAAAGAACTTTTAAGGCTTTTTTTATTAAGCCCAGTGGAAGAAAGAGGCCAGCAAGAGTCGCTAAGAAATGGCATCTGTTCCACATAACTTTGATTCATTACTCTCAAATTTATTAACTTATCCTAAGCCTCCTTCTCGACAGGTTCGAATCCGATCCATATCATCCGCTAATCGACGTATCTCCAAATCAAACTCCACAACCTTGAGGATGGCTCACGCTCATTCTGCCCAAAACCCAGGTCCCAAATTAATAATATTATGGTTACATTTTCTTCTGTATTGTAAAGAATTTTGAAAAGAAATTGACCCTTGTTTGAAATTCTAGTGATCGAGCAGCGGAGAGTGATAATTCCAAACAAGCATGGAGAAAAACTGGTGGGGTTATTGCATGAAGCTAAATCTAAAGAGATTGTGGTCTTATGTCATGGTTTTAGATCCCGAAAGGTTGGTACTCGGTTTTCCTAAACTTGAATCATTTCATCTCTTTAATCTTGTTTTCCAGTAGCGAATGTATTGACCGGAAATGTCTGTTTATGGTGGAATAGTAATAATTTATGGAGAAGACTCACTTGGGTTGATAATACTTCAGGACTACAATACTATGACGAACCTTGCTGCCGCTTTAGAGAAAGAAGGAATCAGTGTCTTTCGTTTCGATTTTGCTGGAAACGGGTGAGTTGAATTAAAACCCAATGTTACTCGGACTCGAATTCGGATATCTATCCATATTTATCTCCATAACCAAGTGTCGGAGTAACAAAGTTAAAATCCATAGGGATTTTTTTAGTTATATGATCTTACTTTATAAGTTGATTTTTGGAGTTGTGGTTTCTGTTCACTTTGTTTCATAGCTGTAACTTCACCTGTTTCACAATACTTTTCCAGAGAAAGTGAGGGTTCGTTTCAGTATGGTAACTATTACCGGGAAGCTGATGATTTGCATGCTGTAATTCAACATTTTTCTGGGGAAAATCGTGTGGTAAGTGCAATTCTTGGGCATAGCAAAGGTGAGTATCCCTAGTGTTTCCTACTTGATATTTTATGAACTAGTTAAGATAGATAATGGTCTTGCACTAAACTTTAGAATTTGTAAGCTTTATAGAAGAAATCAAGTTTATGAAGATTGTTTTGATCTTTTCCTTGTACTATTTTGATCATTAATGCACAGAATATATAGCCAAGCTAATGTAATGCAGGGGGAAATGTGGTGCTTCTTTATGCTTCGAAGTACCAAGATATTCGTACAGTTATAAATGTTTCTGGCCGCTATGACTTGAAGAGAGGCATTGCGGAACGCTTGGGAGAAGACTTTATGGAAATAATTAAGGATGGACACATTGATGTTAAGAATGATACGGGTTAGTTTTCTTCACATCTGTATGTGTCCATCAAGGCTATATTTGTTGTTCGTTAAGCAAATCAGTAGTCCTTCTTGTTGGATTTTCCGTTCGGTTCAAGTGTTACTTAAACGTATACAAATAAAATTGTAGGTACATAATCAGTGATAAAAACAACTGCTTCAGTGCTCTACTAGCTTTGGAAGTTGAATTCAGAAAGAGAAATTATGCATTAGAGATGCTCTATTGTAACAGTTACTCTCGGTTTCATCTTGTATATATGCTTGATTGGGAACATTTCAAGTTTAATTACATTTATATATCTAGGAGGTGTGTTCTGTTGCTCCGTTTCTGGTCATTACGGTTGTGTAGGTCGTTTGAGGTGGTTGGGGCTGCTGCTGTAGGAACGTTTATGAGTATTGCGTATCTGTTTCGTATGTTTCACATCGATTGTTGTTAGATTGAGTGAATGATGCTGCTCGTTCCTATACTATTCACGCCAAATCGCACTCTTTTTCCTCTAAATAGGTTTATGGAGGCTTTTTAATGAGGCATTTGGTTGTGACGTACTTTGTTTTTTGAATTCTCAATACAAAGTATATCTTCTTTCAAAAAAAAATATATCTAGGAGGTGTTGAATACTGTGTGATAGCTTTGGTAGTTGAAATCAGAAAGAGAAATTGTGCATTAGAGATGCTCTATTGTAACAGTTACTCTCAGTTTCATCTTGTATATATGCTTGATTGGGAACATTTCAAGTTTAATTACATTTATATATCTAGGAGGTGTTGAATACCGTGTGACTGAGAAAGCTTTGATGGATCGTTTGGAAACGGACATGCGGAAAGCTTGCCTTAAGATTGATAAATTAATTCGGTAAGACTTAATTGTTTTTTTGAAATCGTTGTTTCTTCTCTAATTCATTGACCTTGCTTTAGATGTCATTGTCAAATTAATGTTAATACTAGTATTTGTTATTTCTGCTATTATTCACCACTGTTACATGCAGGGTCTGGACGGTCCATGGATCTGCAGATGAGGTAATTCCTCTTGAAGACGCATTGGAGTTTGCCAAGATTATACCTAATCACCAGATACACATTATAGAAGGAGCCAATCATGGGTACACCTCGCATCAAACCGAGTTGGCATCAGCCGTTGTGAAGTTTATAAAGTCGGCCTTACAGCAAGACGAGATTGCTCCGAAGTAGGTAGTTTTCATACAAATAAATACTGTTATTTTCTTTTCAATCCCCTCAAATTCTCTGCTAGAATAAATGGAATTTTAGAACATTGAAATCTATTATTATGTTTGTTCTTTTAGACACCAATTTGCATGGGTGAATAGCAGAATATCTTATCACTTCAAAACGGCCAACATTGAGCTTCTGTTGGTTCAGTGTATTCAATCCCCTCAAAGAAAGATTATATCATACAATTCGAATGAAACTTCTAATGATCTTCATTGCTATATATGATCTTTCCCTGGCTACCTGGCTGGAATGTTAATGCATTTGCCTTTATCTGAGGTAGCTGGTACTCCATGCTCCGATAAGGTCAAGCAGCTACTAAAATGGTCTATATGGAATAGGCTCATTTTGCTCATGATGTCGTCTTTGTTACTGTTGTATGATTCTATATATTCCTCCTCCCAGTCTTCCTGGTTCAAATACAAACATGGTTACTATCAGAATAACATACAGTAATCTTCGAGAGTAATATTTGAATACCAGTTCTGAATTTTTTTCGGCCCATCTTCCAATAGTATTGATTTTTATGAATCTAGCTTGTGGGACTGGCTTTACTACATGTTTAGAGTTTTATGAATCTTCAAAATGTAAATTAATTATTGTTATTATCTGATTTTTGTAATCCAAATTTCGTTTGATCAAACTCAAAACATTCGCAACATAATCCATGCATGAATCCACATATAAATATACCGATATTTTTATGCAATGATTAAGAGTAATAAAATGGTGCATAGTTATAATTCTCTTGTATTTTTATTCTTCCGATAAAATTTATTCGGGATACAGAGGGTTTGGTGCTAGGATAGTGTGCAGTAAGAAATTGGCAAACATGTTTCCAGGTTCTGAGACAACATTCTCAAACCTTTTAGCATTATTAATTTTATTTTCCGAAAATTACAAAAAATAATTTTAGCTATTGAAAATACTCTGTCCAGGAGATAACAAGAATTTTGGGTCAAACTGTTGTTTCTTCTGCTGAAAAGCGTTCCATTTTGGGCCAAAATGACGACTCCAATCGTCTTTAGTTGTATAATCAGGAAGATACTGCTTAACCTCAATTCCAGCATTTTGACAAAACTGCAGAACTGCCATGTTTTGATCATCATAAGTTTGCCAATTATCGAATCCACTTGCAAGCAAAAACCCTACTGTGTAGAAAATCTCTTCATCTGGTATAGAAGCTGACATTCTATCATCCCACCTGAATTTCAAAGCATATATATAAGCAGCCGACAGACGAATGTGTATAATCAGATTTTGGTTTTAAAAAGTTACTTATTTCTGTTCATGGGGTAGACAAGGAGAGGGCCGGTGGTGAGATTTCTTTGAAGGACGATGTCTTTAAAAACCCCATCGTTGAAGTCTGCCATCCGAGATTTGGGTATAAAAAGATTCAACCATGGATGTGGAACCTCCCATAATCCTTTTGATCTAAGAACCAGCTCTTCACTTCGTACCCTATTCAAGAACTCTATGTATTCGACATCTTTTTCGAACAGAAATCCAGGGAAGTAACTCAAGCCTTTAAGAAGCTGCTGCAAATCCTATGAAAAAGCAAAAAGCATAGTCAGACAGATTGATTATTATTACACCACTGATCAATGTAAGAAAGATGAATGTGGTTTTACCTTCTCCACCGTGGCATTTGTTTGATCATCGTAATGCTTGACGATTTCAAGACTGTAAATAATGCCGAATTCGGATATAAAGGTGATTATTTTGGGTTGATCTTGGGGTGGGAAAAATCCATCTAAAGAACCTTGATTCAACAGAAGGGAGCCTTCTACATAATTCAGTGCATTATTGTCATCCCTTTCGTTTTTGGAGATCAAAAGCTCTTGGTCTTTACTAAAAGCTGTGAAATTACTGTACAACATTCGTATCCACTTAACCTGCAACCCCATTTCACCATAACATATGAGATTGGAGTCATAGATGAACAAAATGAAATGCGCATGTATATACCCGTTTTGGTGCTGGTTCAAGTGGGATTCTTGCTCTTGTTATTATTCCAAACTGGCCCAAACCTCCAAGAGCAGCATAGAAGAGATCGGAGTTGCTGTTTGGAGAGCAAGTCACAAGATCACCTTTCCCTGAATAGAAGAGACAAAAAATACCTAGTTTGTAAGCTAACCCTCCAAAACGATTGCATGCATGCAAGCAAAGCAACATATATACATATAACTATCCAAAAGATCTAGTATATTTGAATCACCCGAAACCCCTATAAACCCTAAATCTTAAGCACTGGAATATATAACCTTAAAACCAAAATAAGACATATAACATCCATACAATCTATATGTGGATGTGATAATCTAACGTGTTAAAGCAACTATAATATTGTGTGAAGATGAGAGAGACGTGAAAGATAAAAGATAAGCTATTTGGACTTTTGATTACCTGTTATAACGTCCATTTCAAAAACGTTACTGATCTGAGGACCATAACGAAAAGTTTGCCCACTGATTCCAGAATTGGACAAAGTTCCGCCTACAGTTAGATACAGATAATCGGTCCAAGAAACAGGTGACAATCCACTCCTCAGTGTCACGTCCAACACATCGATCCAAAGCTGTTCGCCGCCAATGTCCGCGTACTTCCGGTCGGGGGAGATAACGATTCGGTTCGGATTCTCGTTCATCGACGTCATGTTAACGACGATCCCGTTTCTCGCCATCGCTTGGCCACGGATGGAATGGGAATTCCCTCTGGCTGCTATGGTGGAGGGAGCCGGACTATTGTAGTTGGATTGGATGAAAGAAGCAATGTCTTGCGGCGAGGAAGGGAAGAGAACCGCCTGGGGAACGGATTTCACAATGAGACCAAAATCTTGAGAGGCGGATGCAATGGCGGATGGATCATGGGAGGGTTCTGGTGCAGTATCAAGGGCTTGGAGATTTGATGAAAAAACATCATGGCTCTTAGATATTCCTATGCGAGCCATCAAACAGCTTAGAAGCATTATGACTATGAGATATGATGGAGAAGCAGCAGCCATTTTTGCTTTTTGATGAATCAAAAAGCAGTGAAAAAAAAAACAAAGAACGGCCGAGAATCTATATATGGGCGTAAGGAGTTTGTGTGTGTATATATAGAGGGGGAAAGTGTTGCATGAAAACGATGGTTGGTATTTATACTTAATTTTGGATTCAGTCCCCATACGCTTTGGTATTTTGCAATTAAATCTATCTTCTTATAGTTCAAGGAATCCAGTCCTCATATTTGTTTATCTAAAAATCAAAGTACAATTCATAAGTGTTAATACAATTCCATTAAATTTAAATTTAAATAGAGATTAAATTCTAAAAACTAAAGAGTAGAGGGAGTGAAACCTAAACTTATTGAAAAGGTTTTTGGGAGCCGTTTCAGAAAATAAATAATCCAGCTAACAATACATTAATGTTTAATAATATATCAAATAAATTTTATAACCTAAATTCAACTCTTACCTTTTCGGTTAACCCCAAATCATGTTATATTAATTAAAAAAAACTATTGAATTAATTTTTTTTATATTTTGAAAAGAAATGATTAAGTAACCCTAAATCATGTTATATTAATTACAAAAATCTTGTGAATTAATGCTCTTCCCTATTTTGGTGTTTATAATTTTTTAATATATTAGATCAACTTTTTTCTCTTTGATTTTGTTTAGTCGGTGACGGTACTGATTTTGATGTTGTTCTCTTCTCTCTTTGTTTTTTTTTAATTAATAAGAATAATTTTGCCTTTGTGGTGCCTTTTTTCTACCTTTATAACATGTTTTTCTCTACCTTTGTGGTACATTTTTCGTCTTCTTTCTCAGTCGTTTGGTCATTTCTTTTATTTTATGTTTTCTTAGTGTTGGATTTGAAAATGCCACGATTGATTAAGATGACACTTATTTGTAATCTTGTAGATATTTCCTGCTATGGACTTTCGGATTGAATTTGTATACATGACCTTGCATTCGTGGATAGTTTCTCACGACGCTCGACTTTGATTTGCAATTCTCGATGACCTTTTAATAGCTTAATCCCCTTTTGTGGTTCATTTGTCAATGCATTCATATTTATTTGTATATATTTTTTGTTCGAGTCTTTTGGTTGGGTTTTTAACCTTTTCCATGTATGGTCCTTATATGATCTAAATTGACTAGTTTCAATGTTATAAAAAAATGTTCAAATTATATATTTAGTTTACGATGGTTGTAAACCCTTATTATAATTTTGGATACTTTTACTAGTGGCTTCTATTAAATAAATATCTCTTGAATTAACGTTCTTCCATATTTCGAAAAGAAATTGTTAAGTAACCCTAAATCATGCTATATTACTTACAAAAATCTCTTGAATTAATGTTCTTCCATATTTTGAAAAGAAATAATTTAATCCATTGATTATATTGTGTATATGTATATAGTGATATTTAAAGCAAATTAATCACATGCCTTGCAAAGATAATAAATATAGTAATATAAATATTTAGTAAATTTGCACGAACTAAGCGATCTTGATGGTAAAAAGAATTGTTGTTATTCCTTAGGGTGCGTTTGGTTCACGGAATGTAAGATTACCGGTGGGAATATAAGATTACCAGGGAATAGGATTACTGAGAATGTTGTATTTTGTGTTTGGTTGGTTTAACATGAATGTAAGATTACCGTGTTTGGTTAAAGGAATAAAAGATTATTAGAATGTATATTTGACCAAATTGTCCTTATTATATATTTTTTTTAACAAGTAGAAAAATATTTATATATTTTCTTTAAAAAATTTAAATTCATAAAAGTTATATAATTTTTTTTACACAATTGAAAATATAAAAAGGTTTAATGAGAGGGTAAAATTTTATTTTAACCCCTGAACTTCATATAAAATTTTAATTATTGACTTTTTTTGTAAATCTAAAATAGTTTAAGGATAAATTTGTAATTTAACATTCGTAAAATTTTTTATTATTAAATGACAAAAGAATGATATTTTTGAAGAAGAAAAATTTAAGGGTATTTTAGTCCAAAATGCCGGTAATCCAACAATACCTAAGGAAAGGGAGGTAATGATATTCCCGGTAATATACCTCAAAAATTTCACTATTAGTAATCTTACATAACCGGGAATGAGATTACCGGCTAACCAAACGGGGGAATGTGGATTCCATTCCCATGGGAATCCCACATTCCCCCAACCAAATGCCCCTTAAGATCTCAAGTTTGAGCACAATGAATGTCAGGGATGTGAGCTTTTGATCTCAAATGTTTGAGAGTTATTCTTAAACAAATACTACCATATATTTATCCCATATTCATAAAAAAAAAATTTAGTGAATTTTTACGTGAATAAAATAGAAAAATTATAACAAACAATAGATTAGTTTAATACTATAAGTTATTAGATTCATTAAGGTTAAAAGTTTAAATCATGACATTTTAAAGCGAGTAAATTAGGTTGGGAGGATTAAGAGTGGAGACGAAAATGGGTTGGGTCAAGTTTTCAACCTAATATGTATTTCGACTTAAATTTTGAGATAAAAACATACATACGACCTATCCCAATTTGATACAAATATTTTATTCGATAAAATAAAGTACTAATTAAAATTTTTATAGATAATGAGGTATTATAGGAATTATCTATAATTATATAAGAAAATTATATTATGATTACAGATTAGGTTGGATAAGAAACTTTTTATCTTAAATATGATCTGATATGATTTGATGCGATCGACTTCACCGGCCTTTACAACACCTGACTTAAATTAGATTTATTTTTTTAAAATTATAAAATAAAATAAAAAAACTTACAAGATCGGACCCGTCGTAAGATGAAAATCACCGTATGCGGATTTGTACAAAAATATGTTCCTTACTTTACATAATTTACAAATGAAGCGAGTCACTAATCATTCTATATGCCCCGGGAGTAACGCTCCTGTGGAGACTACTACGTATATGGTTAAGGAGTGTCCCTTTGCTTTGGATATTTAGTCTTCAACTGGAATCTCCTGGCCAGTGGATTATAACGACTCTAGCTTGTGAGACTGGCCTGTTTGAGCTTTATGAAATCTGCAAAATGCAAATTAATTATTATAATTACTGTTTTAAGGTTACGAGACAACAATATCAAACGTTTTAGTATTATTTTTAATAAAAAATAGTTTTATTAGTTTTATTTTCCAAAAATTACAGAAAAAAATAAAGTTAGCACCTAGCTATTGTTATTGAAAATACTCTGTCCAGGAGATAACAAAAATTTTGGATCGAACTGCTGTTTTCTCTGTTGAAAAGTATTCCATTTCGAGCCAAAATGACTAATCCAATCTTCTTTAGTTGTATAATGAGGAAGATACTGCTTAACCTCAATACCAGCCTTTTCACAATACTCCAAAACTGACTTGTTTTGATCATCAACAGCTTGCCAATTATCGAATCCGCTTGCGAGCAAAAACCCTACTGTGTAGAAAATTTCTTCTTCTGGTATAGAAGCTGACGTCCTATCATCCCACCTGAAATATGCAAACACGGATCGGATCAGATGGTTGAGCACACATTAGCACTCGATGTAAGCATAAAACGAGCATCAACACGGCGGAAAGATCGAAACCACACCCGACAGATGAATGTGTATCATCAGGTTTTGGTTTAAAACACTTACTTATTTCTGTTCATAGGGTAAAGAAGGAGAGGGCCAGTGGTGATCTTTCTTTGAAGGACAATGCCTTTAAAAACACCATCGTTGAAGTCTGACATCCGAGATTTGGGTATAAAAAGATTCAACCATGGATGTGGAACGTCCCATATTCCTTTTGATCTAAGTTTCAGCTCTTCACTTCGTACCCTATTCAAGAACTCTACGTATCCGACATCTTTTTCGAACAGAAATCCAGGCAGGTAGCTCAAACCTTTCAAAAGCTGATGTAGATCCTATGAAGAAAAACAAAAACATAGATAGATTGATCATCATTATTCCACAGTGTAATCTTTATTGTAAGAAAGATGAATGTGCTTTTACCTTGTCCACGGTGGCAGTGGTTTGATCATCATAATACTTGACGATTTCAAGACTGTAAACGATGCCGTATTTGGTTATCAAGGAGATTATTTTGGGTTGTTCTTGGGCTGGGAAAAAAGTGGATCTGAAGTTATCTAAAGAACCTTGATTTAACAGAAGCGAGCCTTCAACATAATTCAGTGCTGTTTGGTCTGCCCTTTCGTTTTTGGAGATCAAATGCTCTTGGTCCCTACTAAAAGCTGAGAAATCACTGTACAACATCCGTATCCACTTAACCTGCAAACCCCATTTCACCAAAATCAAATGAGAATGAAGTAATGCATGGATGAACACAATGGCATGCATGTATATGTATGAGCATTTACCCGTTTTGGTGCTGGTTCAAGTGGGATTCTTGCTCTTGTTATTATTCCAAACTGACCCAAACCTCCAAGAGCAGCATAGAAGAGATCGGAATAGTTGTTTGGAGAGCAAGTCACAAAATCACCTTTCCCTGAATTGAAGAGACAAAAAAACCTAGTTCGTAAGTTAACCCTCTAAATGATTGAATGCATGCAAGCAAAACAACATATACGTATAATCATCCAAAAAAATCTAATATAGTTGAATCACCCCAAACCTTAAACACTAAAATAAATAACCTTTAAACTGAAATAAGACTAATGATATCAATACAATCTGCTTGTGGAATATTATTTTCTTTCACCGTCAACGTATGTGATAATCAAACATATTAGAGCAGCCTGCAACTATATTATTGTGCGAAAATGAGAGGGACGTAAAAGGAAAAAGAAAGGTATTTGGGATTTTGGTTACCTGTTATAACGTCCATTTCATAAACGTTACTAATCTGAGGACCATAACGAAAAGTTTGCCCACTGATTCCAGCATTGGACAGCGTTCCGCCTACGGTTAGATACAAATAGTCTGTCCAAGAAACAGGCGACAATCCACTCCTCAGTGTCACGTTCAACACATCGATCCAAAGCTGTTCGCCGCCGACGTCCACGTACTTCTCGTCGTCGGAGACACGGA